TGTCAAATTATTTGGGTACAATGTTGTGGTGGTTTCACTCTAGGCCTTCCTGGAGAAGCCAGCTCGAAACTTGCACAAATGTTTATGTTTTAACAAGCTTAGTGAGTTTCAAGGCAGCCTGAGTGCCCTGCATGGTATGTCAGCATGCTAAATAGGAAGGCACCTCTCAGTGTTTTAATTATACATGGTCTTCTTGCTAATCAGGAGAATAAGACCTGAGTGTGTTTTGTCTTGCTGAATGTGAAAAACATATCACATTTTCTCACACCAGAACACAAACCAAACATTATTCAATTCTCTTTCCACTTCAAAACCCTTGTTATTTATTAGTGCCTACCAGAGCAAAAATGATGCCCAGTTAAAAAGAGCTCTGCATCATTCAGCAGGGACAGCTATCACCAAAAATATGATGAGTCTGGGTGCAGTGCTAAATCTGGTACCACTGATACAGATGTCTATCCACAAATAAAGACTTTGCTGATGGAGACACCGACCCTTGGGAAGTAGTTTATGCTTAAGAAACAATACTCTGTACCTGATAATTGTACCAGATAAGCTTTGTCGCTGGAAAGATTGGCTGAGTCTTAGCACAGAAGTGAAAGACAGATTACAGGGATGGCCAAAACCTCCAGAGCAGCAAGCAACAAGTGTTGCCTGATGATATTACTGGCATTCTCATTTTGAAAGAATCCAAACCAAAAAAGCCCTAGAGGACACAATTGCAAGAGAGCAAAACCAACCAGATTTGGACTGCAGTGAAACACTTGACACAGTGATGGAATGTCTTTCTGATAAATTAATGTAAATCAGGCTTGGAAGGAACACTCTCATTTCAAAGTTGGCTGAAAGACTGGAACAAAATGATAGGTGACAATATAGCAAACTGGAGAGTGTTTGTATGATACGATGGCACAGGGATAAGTGTCAGGAAGTGTTCTATTTAACATCCTCATTAGTAATCCAGAAGAAGAAACAAGTAGAGTGTAATGAGATTTGATACTTGGGAGGATTAATTAGGACTGGTGAGAGATGCAAATTAATGCAAAGCAACAGGCACCAGGATCAAGGGTAGAGAACAAAAAAAGGCACAAAGCACATAGGTGAAAAGCAAAGTTTAATAAAAAGAAACCTGAGGAAATTGTAGCCAGAAGAAACATCAATTCAGCAGGAGGAGACCTAGGAAGTAGTGACATGGGAAGCTTTTTCCCACAAGTTCACAGGAAAAAAACAGGTAGTAAAAAAATGCTAATTCCTCCACATAATATGGTCCATAAATCCTCCATGCTATCATATTTTTTTCCCAGGTTGCTCTCTCTGCCAGGCACCCTGGAATCCCTCTAACCACAGTGGGTGCTGCACAGTATTAGCAAGAAGGTCATCAGAAAACTGTAGCTGTTCCCACATGTCCTTTTTTGGAAAATCTCTGGACAGAAGAAGAGACTCAAGCAACCCTACCAGGGGAGGGACCTGTCTGTTCAAAACTGCAGACCCTGACCTTTCAAAGGACCAGCAAAGGAAGTGAGGATTATTCTGTGTCTGGACAGCAGTGGGATGTGGGTTTTTCTACCTGGCCTGAGCAGAAAGCAGAGCTGTGTCAAGGATGTTGCTGAGCAGCATCCTAGGAGCAGGAGCTCTGAAAGCTGGAAGCTCCCAGCAAAGCTTGTAGCCTTTCTGTTCACAGCAGAAGAAAGCAAATCATTCACAGAATCACAGAATGTGTCAGGTTGAAAGGGACCACAGAGGGTCATCTTGTCCAATCTCCCTGCTCCAGTAGGGTCATCCCAGAGCACATGGCACAGGATTGTGTCCAGAGAGTTCTAGAATATCTACAGTGAGGGAGACTCCACATCCTCTCTGGGCAATCTGTTCAGTGCTCCTTCACCCTGACAGAAAAGAAGTTCTTCCTCATGTTCAGGTTGAACTTCCTGTGCATCTGTTTCTGCCTGTTGCCTCTTGTTCTGTTGCTCAGCACTACCAAAAAGAGTCTTGTTCATCCTTTGACACCCTCCCTTTAGATACTTTTGTACGTTGATGAGGTCCTCTCTCAGTCATCTTTTCTTGAAGCTGAAGAGGCCCATCTCCCTCAGCCTTTCCTTGTAAGAGAGATGCTCCAGTCCATTAATTATCTTTGTTGTCCTTTTCTGGGTCTGCTCCAGGAGCTCCATGTCTGTCCTGAGGAGCCCAGAACTGGACACAGCACTCCAGATGTGCCTCACCAGGGCTGAGTAGAGGAGTAGGATCCCCTCTCTGACCTGCTGGCAATGCTCTTCCTAATTCACCCCTGAATTCCACTGGCCTTCTTTGCCCCCAGGACACACTGCTGGCTCAGGGACAGCTTGTTGTCCACCAGGACATCCAAGTCCTTCTCCACAGACTTGCTTTCCAGAAGGTTGGCCCCAGTCTGTCCTGGTGCCCAGAGTTATTCCTCCCCACACGCAGGACCCTGTTGAATTTCAGATCCTTGTTGAATTTCAGACAGTTTTGGACATCCTTGGTCAGATTTAATTCCAGTCATGCCTTGGCCTTCCTCGTCTCATTTCTACTCACTCTAACAACCTCTTTATATTCATTCCAAGTGGCCTGACCATGTTTCTGTCTCCTCCATATTTTCTGCTTATGCTTAAGTAATGGCAAGAGGACCAAACACAAATGCCATAACCACAGGTGTGGTCTTTGCCACTCCAAATCGTAAGAACAGCTGTTGGGTAACTGGACAGTGACAATGAGTGATGATCACTGGACTGGCTGGATCTATATGCACAGAGAAATCTCTGACAAACACTCCTTTGTTGTCTTACACCCATACCCCACCTTCATCCTTCTTCTTTCTTCATTCTCCAGTCTGCTCAGAGGAAGAACTGTCCCACACATCCCATCTACCATCTACCAGCTGTCTCATACAGCACAGCTTCATCTTGCTCAGGCTATGTTTATCAGGATAAAGCCAGAGTACTGTCAAGCAGAGAAAAGCATATGTGGATTCATATATTACCTGAATCTAAAAATGTCATAAATAACATTTTAATCTGGCTGAGGGGCTTCCAAGCAACCTATTTGTCAGCAGTAGTACTTAGGGTGTGCCAAGAATAACCCTGGATCGAAAGGCTTTTGAGCAGCAGTCACACAGATGGCACAGCAAGCCATTAAACATGAGATGTATCTGAACATGACTCAGCCTTCCCTCCTCCAGGGTAAACAAAAGGTGATCTTAGTCCTCCTATGTTACTTTTCCTGTGAGCTGAAGTGCCGATGTTCATCCAAAAAGAGATTTTCAAATACATTAATGGCAAAAGGCAATGTAGAAATAACATCAGCCCATTACAGAATGAAGATGGTCACCTCAGAAACAGGGACAGAGACAAGGCAGAGGTGTTTCATTCATTTGGACAACATTTTCAGGCATATGGTGTGACTCTTGGGGTGTCCTGTGCAGGGCCAAGAATTAGTCTTGATAATCCCTCCCAACTCACTGTATTCTATGATTCTATGATCCTATGATCTTTCTCCTGGCCACTTGTGAGCTGGGAAAAAACTGAAAACCAGGAGATGTGCTGGAACAAGGGGGCTGTGGCACCCTACTCTCAAGCTGTCTACAAACAAGTGTGAAGCATTGTCACTGCAGGAAAACTAATGCTACCCAAAGGAGGAGTTAGTGATGCTTACCTCTGTAAGGTTTACACTGATTTATATAGAAATACACCCATGTGTATATTATGTCTAATTCTAGAGGATAATGACCATGACCTTCAGTCTGGGTAGTTCTGTTTCACATGTCACAGCTCTTGGCTGATTTACAGCTTTCTAGTCCTGAGGATGTCTTTTTTTTTTAAGGTTGGTTGTGGTCTGGAGTCTGCTTTGGTACCTACGAGAGAACCAGTATATTCCCACATGATACAAGACCTGCAAGGCTTACAAACATTGTGCAGATCCTAGTGATGGTAATGAGAATTAAATGCATGAGACACTGTGTTTTGTCATTAATTTCACTGCAATAAAATTGCACAGGGATACAAAACACAATGTGTCTACTTAAATGTAAAAGAGGTAAGATATACTTGGATTGCTAGAATGTTTTGGTGAAAATGTATACCAGGAAAACAAGTGTTTTTCTGATATAATTTATGTTGGAGAACTAATGAGCTACATTGACAGCATCACTGTTTCATTGACAATAAGTGCACCTGCACAAGCCATACCAGAAAACACTGCCGAGCAGCCATGAAATCTTAGCTGACTGTAGGTAGGGTGGAGATCAGCAGGGAGAAATTACATTTTATTTGGGCATTTTGGCAGGACACTTTAGGCTGTGAAGAGTGAAATACCACCCTGCTTCTGCCAACACTGCAAGAATTACTCAGTATTTCACAGGTTATTTCAGCTTTCCCAGGTTAGGGAAAAAGACATGCTTTTGCTAAGTTCTTGTACATCATGTGATCACTTCCACAGGGGTAGTCTTTAAAGGAAACATGCCTTCAACCATTCACTGAGAGTTGAGGGCAAAGAGGATGCCTCCATGTAGCAAAAAGCTCATTCTTTTTATGTGTATAATTCCTATGAGGTTGTTAACTGGTTATTTCTGAGTGACAGCAGTACTGATGAATGAAATGGAAGAGCCTGAGCAGATCAGCTCTAACGGATCTGTGTGTGGACTCTCCGCTGGGTTTCCCGGAAAGGAATTCAGTCATGCGGTCCCCCTTTGGCAGGAGGAGAGAGCGACCAAGTTTCCACTCGGTGTTCCGTGGCGAAAAGACCTTTATTTCGAAACTCCCGCGGTTTATATAGGCTCGAGGGGAGGGCAAGAAGAAGGGCTGTGATTGGGTCAAGGTATGGGGGAAGGGAGTGGCTTGAGAGCTCTACTGACCAATGGGAGATACAGGCGGACCGCGTTCCAGTAACAGAAACGGGGACTTGGGGAGAGGCGGGCGAGACGGCCTCTCCTGCTGGTGCAGGGGAGGAGTCCGCGGTCGGGGAGGGGAGGCAACGTGGCTCCGAGTGGGGGCCTGCGCGGGTCGGGGGAAGAATACACAGCTCAGGGAGAGAACCCATACAATGAAAAACGCAAGTACTCGTTGTTTTTCTGCTTCGCTCGATCCCAGAAGTCGCCGCTGCAACGGACCCGCGTCTAAAGCTGCTCTTTCCAAGCCTCATAGTCCTGGTGTTCGCCTACACAGCTCCACTAGTGCGACTCAGAAGAGGAGGCGATGATCGGGCCCTGCACGGAGGCAGGGTGATCTAGACATGAGGTGCAACGCTGCGTGCAGTGCAGTAAATCAAATCTCTTCCTCTTCCACTGTTACTCACACAGAAACTAACTGTATGACTCCACACACTGCAGATGCAAACAGAAGGCATTTGGAGGCTGGGCCTCAGCTTTGAGCTGACAGAAGGTGATGACACCCAGTTTAGTGCATAATTCCCTAATCGCACTTGACAATCCACACAGGGATATTTTGTTACAGAGAGATACAATGTGGACTAGGTTTTGAAAAGAATCTGATGCCATTGCAAGGTCCTCAGATGCCATTGAAAGGTGAAGGAAGCTGGGCCCCTCCTTCTCTTTTTCCTTCAAAAGTTTCATCAAAGGCAGATTCTTCCATCAACGCACCTTCACAAGAATGTGTGCACCTATCATGCTTCTGGTAGGTTTGTGTAGGGTTTTTGAACAGTGCAACAAGCTGAGCTGACATAATTACCATTAGCTTTTCTGAGAAAAGTGAATTCTAAGCATCTCTAAAGGTAAGTGCATGTTTATGACTGTTACTAAAAATGGATAACAGTTTAGGCTCCCAGTTAGTATAAAATTACAGGGGTGAAGTCAAGGAACTGAGATCACTAACACAAACTGCAGAGCTGATGAACCTTGAATAGCTGGAAATGCAGGGCTTTGGATTTTATAATTAGAATTCTGATAGGAAAGAGAGACATGAGAGATCAAGAAAGCAATTAATTCTGTCACAAAGCAAACCATATCTGACTCATCATGAGCAGCAGAAAGATCTCTAAAATTTGTCCTTTGAAGCCAGGATACTGTAGCTGAGAACTGCTTGAATAAAGAGAATGGAAAAGCACAAAATGCACTCTTTCCTGCCTGGGTCTGTTTCTAGTCTGTCATTTTTTTCTTTTCTCTTCCTTTCCTCTACCCCAAGGAATAATACCCAACTCACATTACTTCTATTTATTTTCATTTCTCAGGTACATGAGGGCATTTGGAATGAGCACGGAGGAGTTACTCAAAATTTATGACAAAACACGTGTCTTCAGACTGTTCTTCAATCTCGATGCATCTCTACAGCCCCATAATATGAAACTGAATTAATTATTATAATATACTAAGGTCTAACTTCTTATAAATGTAGACCCATTCCCTGAACTTCATTAGAAGAGTAAGGTTACGCAGGCTCGAAATGTCTGATCATCTGATGTGTAGTAAGAATATGTAAGGTCTCCAAATGCACGAGGCTTGCCTGGGGCTCTGCAAGTGTTGTTTCCCTGATAAAGAAGGTTTTGCACACACTCTCTGGAGGGAAGGTGATTCACCATACCAGGTTGAGACCCAGTACACTGCAGTGTAAGCAACTCATGAAACTCGGTGGCACACTGTATGCAAATCCAGGCATGACTCATGCACTTAATATAGAATTGCAAGTAGATATTTGCAATAACTGAGCAGAACTTTGACATCATATCTCCCTTTTCTGTGCAGAAGTACCACGCAGGAGCAATCCTTTGGTTTTCAACCAAGTGCTCAGTCAGGTACTTCATCCCATACATATGCTTAAAGCAGGACAGGAGAGTGATTTAAGCAAGCAAATAATTTTAAGCACAAGTTTAAGGTTTTACATCACCTGCAGTACATGCTTAGATGACTTGCTAAAGTGAAGAATGCCTTTTGTTTTCTGAGTTGGTTTTCCTCCAGCCTGGGGCATCACAGGTTGTCTTTGCAGAGAACAATCTTGGACAGAAATGGGAGAGCCCTGTAAATTTTCTGTAGCCACCACTAGACTAGAGAGCCCCATTGTCTGAATGTGTGGGGCTTCAGGAGTGCTCAGCACGGCTCAGCACCAGTCTGGGAGCAAGAGAGGGGAAGAGATAGGGACAACATTCTCACTCCCTAACTTTAGACACGTAAATTCAGTGCCTGAATTAGGAGTGTGATTCCCAGCTGAGCAGTCATGTACACTGGGAGACAGACAGGCTCCTCCATAGTGTGACTCAGAATAACCTTTGAATCCTATAGGTGCTCTGAAGGACCACAGCTATTAATTTTAAAGGTAACATAAATAAATATTCAGAGTACTATAATTATCCTTCCTTGAAGAGTTCCAAATTTGCTGCTCAAAATCACAAGGGAAGCTTTACTGTGGTGCTTTCACTAGAGACCCCAGATCCTGCATTAACCGAGCCCCATACACACTTTCCTGTTGTGTTACAAAGCCATCATTACTTACCTGTCTAGACTGTTCTAAGCTCCCTACAGAGTTATGGCTATCTTTTGCATAATAAGAGTAGTGTTATTTTTCCATTAGTGCAACTGCAGAAACACAGAATTCTTTAGGAAAATGTACCCCAGCCGTTAAAGGGATTAGCAAATCAACGAATCTCCCTTCCTCCTCTATCCCTCTCCAAAACAACCTGCAGTACCAATACTACTGTGATAAAAAATCCAAGCTGAAATTTAGCTTTAACCTCTGTTCTAGCAAATTCGTGCTGCAGCTTCTTCCTTCTTGCTGCCAGAAATTGCTATGTTCTACCATCAAAGAGACTTTACATGGAGTCATGTAAACATGTATGTATATTTTTTCTATGTAAAAGTGAAAGCAATGAATTACACTATCTGCTTAAGCAGTGTTTTTAATATCTAGAGGTATTTTCAGAAAAGTTTCATTCAAGTATGGTGCACCACTTTGAGGTAGGGTATAAGAAATACAGTGCAAAAGAGGAGAAACTCATAGCTACAGCTTCTTCCCAAATCCTCGGTTTTCAGTATATAACTCACAAACTGTGAATTATCATGAAGGCAGCTGAGCTCCCTGTTGAACTGTGGAACTGAACTTCGCTTTGCCTTCCCAGGTAATTGTGATGCTCTGCATCCCACCACCAACATTATGAAGTAGAGCAGTAATTTGCCAGGTCTGATGGAGCTGGCATATGGCTCTCCTCTTTGCCTAACATTTATAGATCTGTTTCACATGAGCACTTTGTGCATCAGCATATGCAAAGCTGCCTGCCCTCAGTTCTAAGCGAGTTTCCTTATCAGAATATATGGTACTGCATTAGGCTGCATGTTTATGGTTTGAAACATTGACTTGATAATGTGGCTGTAGTCAAACAAAATGCTACATGTAACAGCAGCCAATTCATTTGTTTTAGGGAAAGAATATGACATCAGAAAGAAAGAGATATATGCTTAGCTACATTTGATTGGAGGTAGTCAAATGGCTGAAATGATATAACCATTAAGATATATTTTCCTGATAAACACCCACTTTCACATATTATCTATTTATTTTTGTCTGGTATCTTAATGGAACTTGGAACATGTTAGACCTATCTTTTTTTCCAGTAGGCATTTACTGCTTTGCTGGAAGCAAAATTCCTGGTTCTTTCTGGTTACATTATCCTCACAAACTTCAATAAGAGAAGAGATATTTTTAATGAGTACCTGAGTAATTAAATAGAACAATATTTACAGAAATTATCTCTATTAGTGCCTAGTGGGGTTGGAGTTTGAACTTTTTGTGTCTGCAGTTAGAAATGTTAGCTAGCCAAGCAATTGATTCAGAGTAAAATACACATTTCTAGAGTTTTCTCTTTCTAAAACGCTGTTGTGAGCGGCATGTCTCCTTGGGGCACTGGAACTGGACTTCCTGAAAGGAAAGACTAGATCAAACTGAAAGGTTTTAGGCTCTGGAGGTACTCTGCATAAAAACAAAGGTGGTGTTGCATAAAAACAACTGGTTTTTTTCACTGTAATTTTTCAGCTATGACTATTTTCCGAGCTGAACTAACTCAGAAGACAACTTTCCTTAGGTTTGCAGTGTTTGGAAAACTGCAGTGGCAGAGTCTCTCAGGGACAGCACAGCTCGTCCCGTTGCTCTGATGCTCACGGATTTAGGTGTCGCTGTTACCTCCACAGAGTGGTCTGTACCAAGTTACGGAAGAGCTCAAGAGCAATAACCAGATGTTCCCCCTTCCCATGATTGCGCTCTTTTAATAAACAGACTATGTTCTTTCCTTAATTCTGACACTAAGATAATGCAGTAATAAATACAGTACTAGAGCCAGTATTTTATTTGTAAGTTCCCCTTTTCTCTCTTCAAATAGCTTTCTATTTACTGAAAACACTTATGGTTGCTTTCGGAGTGAAGTGTCTTTGGGAGAGGTAGGAAAACTAAATTTACAAGTTTGGAGCTACAAGACAGGACTGACTAGAAACTCTGCTTGGGTAACTCAAAGCAGATAAAGCTAGAAAGTTTAAATGCAGCATACTACTTGAAAACCCAGCCAAACTGAAAGAAAAAACATTGTTTAGTGTGGAAGGTAATTTGCTGTAATGTAGATTTAGATTTCTTTTTTTTAATGCTACTTCAGAAATCCATTTTCTATGTACAATTACTGAAAGTATTTCTGTTATAGAAATGTATCTTACTGAAAGCACAGAAAGTGTTGTAATTATCTTTAGGGCATTTGACAAAGCAGATATTGTAATTGAGCAGTGGTTACTTGAGACTCGAGAAGCAAATAAATCTGGGTATGGTCTGTAAGTCCCCAAGAAGTTAAAGCTTTAGAAAGCAGAGTCATTCATATCTGTTTGCTCAAACATGGTGTCCTTCCAGGGTAACAGTGTGAGAAGGGGGTTCTGTGGGGGTGACTGCATCTTCCTGATCATATCTGGGCATCAGTGTAGGTTGGAGCAGCACAGGGAACACTCCAAATTGTGTGTATGGCTACACAGTGCCCACAGAGCCCATTCCTCATCATAGACCAGCAAACAGCTCCCCCAAAAAGCAGTTCCCCACAACTATTTCCAGTATACAAGGATGTGTAAGGTCTTGTTTCTCTACTGACTTGAAATGTGAGTTGTGAAAGGGAAGAACACATATTTCAACTGGTTCTGCTTTCATGCAAGGGAGTGGAAGACCTGTGTGTTTAATTTGACCTCCTGAGCCATTCTGCTGTACTATTTCATTATAGTGCTTCTGACACACATCTGTATGTGAAATAGGCAGAATGTGGTAATTTAGAGCCACCAAGTGTGAATTACAGACAGTGCTGGTGTCATTGACGTTCACAGCAAATCTTAACTTGGCTGCAGGTGTGAAAAGTAACCATGTGAGTGTTCCCAGTGAAGAAACCTCCTGAAAGTCTTAATCTTCTATACATTACACATTTTTTCCACCCAACCCCTGGTTATTTCCTCGAGCCATTGTCTTTCATTCTGAACTTTACTTCCCAGTCCTTTTAAGTCAATAACTTGACTTCATCTTACTGTTTTCTTCACAAATTTTAAGACCACACACTGAGCTCTGCTAACACACTGTATTATGCTACTAGTAGACAAATTTTAACATCACATCACATACATGTTGCAGTTGCTGTTGTAACATGCCTTTTAAAAAATACCTTTATTGGATGAAATTGTCTCTTTCCCAAGAAAAAAATCTGGTTCTTCAATATAATTTATTATGCCTTTTAAAATTCTGTCTGTTCAATAAAATCTTTACTATATTATAAATACCTGTAACGAAAATATAATTTAAAATTCTGAGAGAAAACTTTTTTTTACTTTCACATTTTTCACAAAACCCACAGAGGCACCAAGGAAAAACTAACAATAAAATTAATTTACTCCTGTACAAGCTGATCTGGGTTGGAAACATTCAACAGAGATTTTAAACTTGTCTTCTGGTGAAACTCTGGCTACAGCATAGGAACTGATCTTAAAACAAAGGAGCGTCTTTTGTTTCCCACCCTTTTAACCTGAAAATGTCTTTCAGGACTGATGGACTGTTGCTAGTATTTTCCTCACTGTAACATACCCGAATGAGGATTGGCTAAATTAGTTGTTATCTGAGAGAGCCAGCTTCTGAGCTCCATGGCACAGGACTAAAAGTGGTCCTTACCTCACCACATTGTTATATTCTGAAAATTAAACATTAGTGGAAAATAAGTGCTCTCCCTCTGTAATAGCAGCAATTAGAAATTTTCTTGTTTTGCTTGTTCATTATTTATGCATTGCCAGAAAGCTTTTGCATAAAGGACAGCAAAAGAAACCTTTCTGATTTCGACCACTGCTGGGATTTACCTTTAAATTACAGAATTTATTCTGAAGTTTGAAAAATCTCCATCCAAACTGAATTATGAGCAAAATGTTAAATTCCTGTCTTGGAGACACATCATTTTAGGGAATAGACAGTGAAGAAGAATCAAATAATTCTAGGGAGTCTGTAGAACACACTTAAACAGTAGACGAGAGAGGAAGAAAAGTAAAAAGCAGTCAGCACTTTTTTGGATTTTCTTTAGCACTGCAATGAGATAACTATCCCCTGGAAATCTTCATTTCCTTGTTCTAGATCCCCTACAGTTTCTGAGCATCCAACATGGCTTTCTTTTTTTTTCTTTTTTTTCAGTTATGAAAAGAAAAATAATATGTCACTCTTGACTCTGTCTTTAAAGAAGTATCTGTGGAAAACTGCCTGTCTGGTAAAGTTAGGGAGTTAGTCACCCTAACTGCTTTCTGACAACCACCTGCCTTATCCTCTTCCACTTTCTCCTTCTTTCTATTCCTTTCCCTCCCACTCCACATTCCATGCACACCCTTCACAGGGTATTTTTTTTAATCTCACACCTCTCCCTGTCCATTTTGCCTTGACTTCCTAGATTTTTGGGAAGTGTTACAATCTGCTACAGATACTCTTTCTGATCCACTTTGGTCACAGTTCAAGGAAAGGACAAAGCCATCCCAGCTTTGCTGTTCTGAATACTGCAAGGTGTAGCCATGTCAGAAGGCAGTTATGTTACTTCAGAAACCTAACTGATGACCCACAGGTAGAAGGTTGGTCCCCAAAACTCATATAATTGACACAAATATATCAGTACTCCATCAGGTAATTCATAACAGGTGTAAAGAAAGCCAAGTGCTATCTATATAGGAGACTCTGTCCTCATTAACTACACACTGCCTAGAAATTCTAGGCTCATGATTCAGGCACTTCACTTAGGTATTTAAAAGTTAGGTGGAGAAAATGACATCCCGTGGTCTGGGATGTCTCATTTGGGACTCTTTTATATTAGTGTATGTCTGTCTGTCTGTCGTCTAAATTGTGAATAACTTCATCAGTCTTCACTGATGCCCCAGTCCAACTCCAGCCTCCCAGATGTTCCTTTACAGGAGAACGAAGGGCAAGGGAGCATTGTTGTTTGGAGGAGGAACAAAGCACCTGTGACAGAAGCAGTACTGTCTGCAAGTATTAAATAGGAATAAATGACAAATATAACAGAGACTCCAATATTCACAACAAATCCACAGATAAGAATATATCCCCATAGCTTTGGCAGTTTGGTTCAAAACTGCTTGGTAATTCAGGTTTTGAATCCTACTGCATGCTTAAGTGAAGAGGGTGGAAGAATAAGTAATGTGAAAACTGTTTAAAATAGAGCACTAGGGTTTTCAGGGGAATAATATTGCATTTCATGCCTGAGGGGGCAATTCTACTCTGATGGTAATGAAAAAAGGTTTTGAAAAAAGATATTACTAAAAAGTGTCAGTTTCCCGCCCTATCCGCTCACACCTGTTTTTTCCCTTCCTTGATATTGGTACTAAATATGAAGCAATCAAAGCAGCAATCACAAGTAGAGCATACACAGACTTTGGAAAAAAAAACTACAGGTGGGGAAAATGAATATTTCCAACTCAGTGCCACACCCTACAGTTTAGTTTCCTTCATTTATGATATCAACCAAGGCTTGCAGCAGTCTATCATCTCTATGCTTGTAAGGTTTGGCATTGTAAAAAAGATCAACGTAGTCACTGTACAGACTTTCTTCTGAACCTCTCAACTGGGAAGGCTTGTTCAATTTTTTGAGGGCTTGATAGAAGTGTTCATATGGAATATTTAATTTCTCACTTGCAGTCTTCTTTGGCAGTTGCTTCTGATTCATCTGTCTGCTAAAAGCACTTCGCAGTAAATGTAGCATAGCCTGTGATGGGATTTTATCTTCTGCTTTGTCACTGCTGCTACTGGTATCTTCTGTGATTTTGGGTTTTTCGCTCAGGTTCTCCAGTGTGGTATGGTCCTAGAACACAGATTAGCATAAAAAAAGGTTAGGTGTCGATGGAAAATTGACCAGATTCAGGTTTGCTCTGGTTAGGGATCTCCATTTACATGTGAGCAGAAACTATTTTTTCATTCGGTAATCACATGGCATCTAGAAAGCAACCAGACCATTATCAACTAAAACAAACTACTGAAAGAATTGTATAAAGTATCAAGTCCCTCCACAAGATAGGTAGTTACAAATTCATATTCCTCATTGGCAGGATACAACATGTAATTTTATACCAAAATTTGTCCCAGTCTTTAGAGATATATCTGGGACACAACTCCTCAGCAGCCTAAATTAAGGAAATATACATGGAGTGCTGAGAGCAGCTCTGACTGTGCCACATATCCTTGTGAAAAGGATTGAACCAGTGCTTCCATACAACCTTCTCTGTAGATGATCTCACTTGAGAAAAAGACAGTGAAGTACAGCTAATGCGTGGCCACGATACCTTGGAAACTTTGGAAGACCAATCTCAAATTCAGATGCACAGAGCAGCTGATGAGAGGCATGATCTTTTTCAACAGGAGTATGTGCCTGTATAGCTTCCTAGTTTACCCTGAGATTGTCTTTCTAACTGAACACTCATTTTATCCTCATTTGTTCTCTACCATGCCTACCTATCTTCTCCTATAGTACTTTCTGGATCCACTTTGAGCAATTTTGAGCTGGTTGCCCACCATGTCGCCAAACGCTCAGTGAAAGCCTTTCCCCCACTTCCCCTTTAGGCAAAGTTAAAAAAACTATAGAAACTGAGAGAAACTGAAATCAACTGAATTATACCAAAAATATATATTTACATATATTTACAATTATATATATTATTTGAATATATATATATATTGTACACACAATAGGGAGCTCCCGAGGGGGAAAAAGGGAAAAGGGAGGGGGAAACAGGGATAAAAACTAAAAACGAATATCCTCCAAATATACCTATTAATAGAGAGCTAGAGGATAAGTA